CCGCTGTTCCGCTAGCACACACATGCTCAGCTCCCGGTCGCTTTCTTCCTCTCTCTCTCGTTTCTTGTTTCAACACTTTTGTTAGTCTCGCGCCACAGTTTAATAAATATTGAGTGGCAACATCAAGATCTGAGCCAAATTGAGCAAAAGCAGCTACTTCACGATATTGTGCAAGTTCTAGTTTAAGACTACTGCACACTTGTCCACATTGTTATGCTCTCAACCTTCCGACATCGTTTGTCACGCTGTCTGTTTCATATTGGGTCAACTCGGGTGCACTTAGTTGTGTTTGTGACCAGGTGCACGCAGTCAGATGGCACAGTGGCAGACTCTGTCGAGTTTGCTTTCGCTCACCTACTCACCCACTCTCTCTCTGACCCTCTCCCTTTCACTCTTGTACTCCCAAACTCACTCCAGATCTCTCTCTCTTTCTCTATCAACTATCACTGCTCAGATATGGAGAAAAAACCTTCACCTAGAACGTAAAAAAATACACCCAAAAATACCTTGCGTTCTTCGTGTACCCAGCAGACGAGGATTAATAGGAGAATGAACCTTCAGCTGGATCGTAGAAAGACTCACCCAAAAAATACCTTGCGTTCTTCGTGTACTAGCAAATAAGGATTACCAGAAGTATAAACCTTCAAATGGTTCACAGAAAGATAGTGCCATATTACTTATCTCCCCAACTTTGTCAATCGACTTTCTCTCGCTACTTCGGGCGTCCGCCATCAATCAGCCCTGTGAGCTTTCACTAACTGCTGCAGTAACAAGCCTCTATAACCTGGCGTGAAACAACACTTGTTTCCGCTCTGCTGCGTACCTCCGGTACACTGTCCTGCAGGCGGTGGACACCTGATACCCTTTTCCTCCTACTTCACCATTCAGAATCCCCCTCCTAGCAATACACTCTGCGTTGATCTCGGCTGACTGGTCTAGCCAGGTCTTCCCTTGCCATGTCCACACCTTCAGTCACCGCACACTCCGTGTACATGATCTAGGCAGTATCTGTCTCCCCTTGGGATTACTCGTCCAGATGAGGTGCACGTCAGGCACACGTGTGAGAGAGACTCTGTCCGAATGTCCCCCTCCCTCGATGCTCGCCTGCTCTATGCATCGTATCTCCTGGTTGTGTATGTCATGTACGCACGTCACTCCTGTCCGAAAAATCTCTCTTTTCGTGTTGTCTGCTCTCCAAAATTCAGCCTCGTTCGAGCTTGAGTCAGATGTCCGCTATCCGCGGTGTACACCAGGCACGCCTCCTTAAAAAATGTCCCTTCTTGCATAAATACACCCTTTATCTATACCCATCCGTTCGGAGCAACACAAATTTCGTAACCTTCCGCGAACATGTGAGCCTCAAAGTCCTTGTGCCCCAAAAGGCACTCCACAAAGTAAAAATCCATGGTTAAGGTTTCGGGCCAAGTTCAGAAGAGTCACCGTTGGGTACGGTAAGAGCCAAGTCTAGTAGATACCCGTCGAGGGCCCCATCCCACAGTTCAAAGGTCATTTTCCATGAATAAAGTTATGACGCCCAATCTTAAACCACGATACGCCTAAGAGTTTCAGAATAATATTAGCCCTCGACATTTTGAGACAAATAGGTTGTGGACATGCGGTACCAGGACCAAATCGTACACAGGGACGCCTAGTACCTTACAATCTTATTGCCTGGAGATAACCTTGTCGAGGTGTACCGCACCAGTACCGTCCAGTAATCATGGCGAGATAATATAACCGTGTTGCAATGACATGAATCATCTGTAGCGTCCGGATCTCACCAAGGTACTGTCGTTGAACCGTAGTAAACTACAGCAGTTCCGAGTTGGGCTACATCACCGTACCAAGGGATAATCATGTCAAACAATTCATGTACCGTGGTTGTGCCAAACTGACATCCGTACCAATCTGATCTGGCCGTCGTGACCAGAAAACCAGCTCTGGTGATCCGACCACCAATTTAACCAAGGTCTGCCCCAAGTACTGAAATAATCATTGTTCGATGGTATTCGTGTCAATACGAGTTCCCACACGTCAGTCAGCACGCCATGAGAATTCCGCAAGTTATGTGCACCACACACTCAATAATCTCCGGGTTATAACAAGGGCAAAAATTAAGTAAAATCTTGTAAATTTCAGTGAGGGATAATAAATAGATAAAATCCGTTTAATCATGTGAGAATAGAAAATCAGGTAAACTTCGGTGAAAATCAACGAGTGCAAAATTTGACAAAATTTGTTTAAACCACTAGTACCTCCGAGCCTGTTTTTGTCGACCCTGATTTTTACTGCGCTCCGAGTTTTGCCGAGCCTGGGTCCCACTCCATTTCTTTATGGTACTCTCACGGGAAGAACAAAAAAAAAAAGAAAAAAAAAAAAAGCTCTGGGCATGATTGCATCTGTATACATTATCGGAAGTGTAAGTGTGAGTGTGCCCTCAGTGAGGGCATCTCAGCCCCGTGACCAGGTTGTCAGATTTCATAAACTAAAAAAAAAAAAAAAAAGACAGAAACATGGATTCGGCCRTGAAAATGGCAAGATACATTCCCGTAAGTGCCAGTGTGATCAGGGTTACAATCCTCTAAGGGAACACAACTCGAGCAGATCACGGATTCAGATTGCCAGAGTCCAGAAAATGAAAACAAGAAAAAAAAAACGAAAACATGGATTCGACCTTGAAAACGGCTGGGTATATAAGTTTTACAATCATATGAGGAAACAATACTACAAAAGATCACGGATTTCGCCCTGCCTCGTTGGCAGGGTACTCATAACAAACAAATACAAAAGAAAAAAAGAAAACAACAAGTTTGAGAACGTGACCGTTTTTGTTGTAAGATGCTTGCAAGACTGTGAGCACGGTCTCCTAGACATCCCTGCATGACATCATTGCAGTACAAAGGCCCGTTTTTTTTCCTTTCCCTTTCGTGCACGGACAAAAAAAAAAACAACGACTTTTGGGATATTGCCTACCCTCTGTCCGACCCCCGAAAACTTCGGGTACTGGCCAGCATCTCATATTTTCCCAACACTGGGGAAGGTACTGGTGGTTTAGTAATAAAAAATAATAATTTGTTCCCTTTCCCTTTTTTATCAGTTTTAATTTTTTACTCATTTTCAATTTCATCATGAAGTTAAATTAAATTTAAGGCCTACTTTTATCGCCATCTGGTCAGCGTAGGAAGTTTTCGTGAAGGCTTACTAGCATATCCTAGCTCGATGGGTGGCTGGTTCGAAGACAACCTCAGATCAGGCAAAAAAGGCAAGCACCAGGCGCGGTAGAAGTGGTTGTCCAATCTTTAGGATTTAAGGGTCAGTATTGACGGTTGATAAAGGGAATTTCAGAGTTAATCTTAGGACCCATAATTTTCCCTGACAGTCCCGACAAAAAATCCCCAAGAATTTCGTCTAAGCGCTCGGTCAAAGACCCAACTTCCTTTATTTTGGGTGGCTGACTGCTTGTGGCCACTCGACACCGTTGAGGTTATCGCAGCAACAGCGCTGATCGGCAAGCACAAAAGCTAGTGCCACCTGAGTGCGCCCCCACAAAGATCACCAAACAACCGTAATAGCCAATCTCCACCACTGATACTTTGCCGCTGCCCCGTGTTTGGGACTTCATGTAGGATATTTTTCCTTGTGCGGTTTGGTTGCCTGGCATTGGGATACAGGTCCCCCCAAAAGTGCCGTCGTCTCCCTGAATGAGCTACCAGTAGGGCTCCTAGGGTGGGGTCTCCAAGCTCCAACGGCCTCCGTAAAAACTTGGAGCTCATGCAGGGACTCAGCCACAACAATGGTGGCCTAGTGTAGAGAAAAAATAGGGTGCCCAGGAGATGGCGTGAGATATTGGTTCCGTCCATCAATTTATGTCGGTTCGATCATCGATAGTCTCATTACCAAGGAGTACGTAGGATCCCGTTCGTTCGTTACCATTGACGTCTGGTTTCCCATTGCCACGTGGTCAGCAGCTCTGCTGCCACCGCAAGAACCCCACTCAGAAAATACGCAAGCTGCACTTGGAACTCGATGGATAGTATCCACAAATTGGACCCGCCTCCCCCAAAACGCAAAAACGAGCTTGTCAGGATTTTTTTTTTTTTTTTTTTGTCGGGAATTTTACCGTCGATCACCGCCGTATACGGCTCATGTAGTCGAATGGGACTGGTGATAGGCAGGCCTAAGTTCGAATCCTACCGATTCCGAAGAACAAAAGAGCCAGGAGCCCGTCAGTTCGATGACGAAGAGAAAGAGAAGAAGAAATTTACCGCCGTCTTTCTGCGCGCATCTGGCGGGATAGCAGATCCGACAGCAAGGAACAGATTCCCATCCGGTGCCTTCGGTCGGCATGTGCGCCCCCCGAATTGAAACTCTGCCGCTCCGCTGTGCGTTCCTTTTTTTTTTTTTTTCAGACTCCGATGTGCATTCTCCCACTTCCCCGCCAATAGCGTCTCCGGCCGAAAAAAAAAAGAAAAAAAAAGGCCACCAATCCCGCCTCTGGCGGGCACGGCGGTGACTCCAGTGCATTCGCGGGCGGCCTTTTGGCGACACCGTGACAAGGCGGGATTGTGGAAAGTTTCGACAAGAAAATGGCGGGGGGACCGCGGGGACGCTTTAAACAATCAAACAAATCAATCAAACAAATCACTAACATATATTGCCCCTCACATCCCCAGGTCGCTTGAGTCAGTCAGTCAGACATCGGTAGCTTACGACACGACAATCCCATCCCGTGTCGAAGGACGTCGTTGACTGCATCGGACTACGATGGTGTCTGCGCCTGCCTGCCTGCCTGCTTTCTTTTACCGCCTTTTCACTTGGGACAGGGCTGTGTTTGAATGCGTCACGAACCACGGACCAAGTGAATGACCGCTCGAATGAACGAAGGGACGAGTGATTGGATGGAAGGCAGCGTAGTCTGCCATAGCTAAAGGTGTGACTCGACGACCCATTGGGTGCGACGGACCTCTGGACCCCTGGACGGGACATCGTCTACGGTACGTAGATTGGGGGTGGGGGCGCGAGAGCTGGCTGCCAAGCTGGCTGGCAAGTTGGGTGCCACGTGCATCGCCAGCACCGTCTTCCATACTCCGCCCTCGATTATCTCTGGATTAAACCGTCGTCCATGCGTGGCGAAGGTCGTGTGATCAAGGAACGCAGCAGCAGTTTTCCTCCTCAACACGTGAATACGGTTTGCGGGGTTTCACTACGACATGTCATAATCTGTCGTCATCGATCTTTCGCTCTGCTCTTGATCGAACGCCCATGCGCGCTTCGAGAGTTGCCATCAAGGAACGCGGGTTTCCTCTTAAACAAGTAAAGGCATATTTCGGGATTTCACTCCGTGGCGCCCTGTCTCCTCCACCCGCCCCTTCTCTTCCACCTACTTTCGGCTTTGATCTCCATCTTCCTCGTCGATTTCGAAGGGGTACGGGCTTTTCCCCTACCCCCTTCTTCCTTCATCTTCCTCGGGATTCTGCGTTTCTTTCTGTTGCACGTTGTGCTGATACCTCGCAGTCGCTCTCTCTCTCTCTCTCTCTGTGTCTGTCTGTGTCTCTTTTCTTATCTTCCGTCCCTTTGCCGGGGGTGGTTGTCGCCCCATCCCTGTCTCTCGCTGTTTCCTTGCCCTGATCGAGAACTTCGCTGGCGCACGTGCCGTCTGTGCGTGACCGTGCTGCCGCCGGGATCCACAGTTGATGGGCATGACTGCGCTGGGCGGGATATCTTGCAGTAGCCTGCCGAGATGGTTCGGCGCGCTGAGACCGAGGGCGTTACGCGGTACCGGTAGGCCGTGTCCAGATGATGCATATTTGCCTCTTCCTCTCGATCAGCGGCAACAACAGCAGCAACAGCAAGGCCGACAACAGCAGCAGCATCAGCAGCACAACTCAGCCGGATCCGAAGCCCGGGCCGCGGAGGCAGGTGAGTCTCTCCCCCTGATGACGTCCGCCTCTGTTATTTTCGCGCAAGTATTCTGTATGCTGTCTGGGTTCAACATTCTGACGAGTCCGTGAAAGTGAAAACTCTTCTTTGCCGACGCGTCAGCCTTCCATGCGCTTGTCCCGGAATTCTCTTCAACGACTCTCGAAACACGTCGACGAAGACGAATCAGAGAAGAAGCAGCAGTCAGTCGACTTTGCTTTGCGTACATCTGTGCGTGCGTTTTCCCGTCCTCTTGTTCTTTATCTTTTCCTTCTGATTCTTCTTTCTTTCTCTCCGTTTTTTCTTGTTTTCTTTTTTTCTATTTTTCTTTTCTTTCTTGCTTATCCGTGCCCACCGCTGATCGATCCCCTCTTTGAACCAGTGATCGTTTTCTTTTTCTCCCACGCGTTCTTAGACGATGTCTTGATTTATGTGTGTCATCCTTGCCCGAGGGCCGGGCTAATCTTCTCTGTACCCTTCCAATGTAGCGGATGTGCCGAAGGACTCCCTCCCTTTTTCTAGTGTGTGTCCATCCTGAAAAGAGGAATCTGAGTGGTCTGACGCGGTGCCCGTCCTCCATTGGAGATGTTGACTTCATTTTGTCGGTGCCTGGGGAAAAGAAAACGGAGGCCCTCCTACTCCTATATAATAGAGGTTTGAAGGGCAAGGCGCCCTGTGAACGAGGCAGACAGGTCTTCCTGGATTCCTGAATTCTTCGCCGCTCCAGGGTATCTCCCCTTTGTCTCTCGCCGTTTATCTCTTCTCTTCTTCTTCTTCGTCGGCCTCTCTCTCTGTGTCTCTCCTTCCGTCCCCTCTCCCCGCTGTCTTTCCTTCCACACCCCCTCCCCGTTCCTCTCTCTCTCTCTCTCTCGTTCTCTCTGTCTATCTCGCTCTCTCTCTTACTCTCTTTCTTTTCGTGATTTTTAGATAGATGACTACATGTTCGGCGGGGATACCCATGTGCACTCACCGGTACCCAGGTGCTGGTAGAATTGACTTACTCGGCCCAGATCGCGTTCGTTTGCTTGGCACCTGATTGGTCTGGATGATGTCGAATGGAAGAACGTGAGACTGTAAGAAGATGCATTAGCCTTAAAAAAAGAGAATCTATCTTTTGTTTTTTTTTCTTTTCACTTTACTTCCTCGTTCCAGTCTTCGTTTATCGGGTGTTTCCTCAATATTAGGTGCTATTAGTTTCATTACGACTGGATCCCCATCTCCTCATATGAGTGGATGGGGTGTGGAACAAGGAAATGAAAGCAGGGCTTTGGAGGAAGGAAGCGACAAATTAATATGATGAAACCGTTTGGAAAAGTAGTGAGGAAACACATTTTCCGAGGAGGAATCGATGAGATGATTTAGTGACGTGGATCACTGAAGTAACAGTTTCAAGGTTAAGAAAATGTAGAAAAACGAACTCGTTGACATGATATATATATGACGATATGATGGGGTGTGAACCGGCAGTCTGTAGAGTTTTCCATCTGGTGTGGGTGAGTGATAGTCTACTTTGATTTTGGTTAAGGTAGATTATCATTTACAGCGTAATCAGTGAGGGGACTCTGCAGACTGTTGAGGGTTCAGCCTCCTGATGAGTCGGTGAAACTCCGACGAAACAGTTTGTCACAGCCCCTCGTTTGTTGTCCTCTTCTCTCTCTCTGCCTACGGTTTACCGGGCAGTTCTGTTTGTGACGATATATATATATATTTTCTTAACTCCTGGATGCCAGGGGTGCTGATATGAGCAGACACCACTAGTACCGTAGGGGTGGCTCCATCTATGGGTGGGGAGGAGGACCTGCTTGAAAACGGGTCCAGCGTCCCCTGTACACTGACTTGCCCGCAGTGAGATCTTAGAGAAGAACTGTTTGCTGCCTGCCAGTTGTGGCGAAGAAAAGGATTGCCCTTTCCTTCGGCGGATGGACGGGGAGCTTTGATCACCCCCAAGCGTGGTCAAAAGGAACGCGAGAGGGGGGGGACGGATTACGGTATGTGGATTTTTTTTTCATGAATCTGAAACGGAAGCTGGATAGTGCATTTTAGAAAGCGTTGAATGCTCATCGAAGAGGCGGCGGCTTAGATATTGAACATTGCGCCGAAGGCGAGGTCTTAGCAAATGGCATGACGGTTTACTAAGTTGGATGCGGGCCGGCGTGGAGCGTGAAGAGAG